ACTGTCCCCGGACCTGGTCTGAAGGCGGTTTCCCTAGGAACGCATTAATTGATTTTCAATGCATTCCTATGGGAAACCGTGCATCGCAAGACGAAAAACTCGCAAGACGAAGAGACTTTGCGGAACGAATTAATTTCGTCTTGCGAGGCACCACTGTATCCAGAGAGGCGGCCTTCAGGCGAGTTTTAATTTTAATTTTCCTTCTCCCACTTCATGCCCCACGCTCGCCCGAGCAGCTTGCAGTCCTCGGTAACCACGGCGACCCGAGGGAGGGGAGGGAACAGGGAAGTCGAGGGCCGGCGGCGAGCCGCGATGACGTCAGTGGGCCGCGCCGCCTCGCCCTGGCACGTTGTGAGAGCCCGGCTAGTGGTGCGAGCTTCAGAATAAGTGGGGATCCGCGTGCGCGAGACCGAGGTCGCGGGTAAGGAGCTCAGCCCTGGGCAGGAGGAAGCGGGCCACGCGTGCGGGCCACATCCCACAGAGAGCTGAGCCTCCCCCGGCCCATCCACTCCGGGCAGGTCCATCTGGCATGAGGGGCGGCGATGGCGACGGCCGGCAGCTTGCCTGGCAATGCCATCCCTCGAGCAGGCCGAGGAGCCCGGAGGCTACCAGATGCGAGTCCTCTTTCCCACCCTGCTCGGGAGTCCAGAGCACTTGGTCGCATTCAGGATCTAGAGTGGGGAAGCGGGGCTTGTGTCTGGGCTGGACACATTGGGCTGCCTGTGCCGCTCGACCTGCGGGGAGAAATCAGGGTGGGAGTCCACGACCGGTGAGGCAGGGCTGCCAAGTGTGGCAGAAGAGGACACGGCCCGTCGCACCTGTCCTTAGGTAGCAGCTTCTTCCGTGTCGACCTGCTGCCCTAAAGTGTTGGCTTTTTCTTGGCTTTTTGGCGGTTGGCACAGAAGGAAGGCAAGGGGGAGGGGGAAAAATTGAAACTTACACTTTCGTGCGTCCCTCCGGCGTGACGCTGCGCGCTGACGTCACGGGGCTGTAATGGTGGTGTGCCTCGAGATTTTTTTCATGAAACAAGTGTGCCTTTGCCCAAAAAAGGTTGGGAAACACTGCCCTAGAGCTGTGGACACAATCCAAGTCAGCCTCTCCCCATAGCTTTTTCTTTAAGCAAAGGAAAAGAAGTGAGGGATCTGATCACAGATCTCTCTCTCTCTCTCTCTCTCCTCTCTCTTCTCTCTCTCTCTCTCTCTCTCACACACACACACACACACACACACTCACACACACAAATATTTTTCTTACTTTATTTTAAATGCGTATATCCTGTCTTTCCTTTTTTGAAGCAAAACGATATTCAAGGCAGCTGACAGTATTTAAACACAAAATACCTATTAATACAAACTGAAGCACAAGAAGCAGCCAACCAGCAACTAATTAATCAATTAGGCAGTGGCAGTAAACAAAAACCAAAAGCCATAAGAAAGAAAAGAGAGCAGTCAGGAAGGGGGATCCCTTTAAACTCAAGAGGATTTTGAATGCCCGTGGGAACAGCACAGCCTTTTTCCTGGAAGGCTGACAGATGGGGTGGAATAGCTTTCCCCTGGGAGGGAGTTCCAACTCTCAGTGCAAATATGGAGGAGGCACTGTTCTGAATGTGTGAAGCAGTGGGGATGTCTGTGTTCCTGCCCTTTGTCCTGCATCCACATAGCTACTAATCAGTTCATCTGGCACAGCTCTTCTCACACTTGCCAAGCTCCCAGAGATTGTAAGTTGCGCCCACAGAAACTCCCCTTAGGCAGAAACATTGAAGATGGAAGGTAGCTCTTGTTCCTGGCCAGCCTAGAGAGAGGCTTCTGCTTCTCCTTGCACCTTCCTTCCTCTGTCCCAGGGGTCTGCAACCCGTGGCTCCGGAGCCGCATGTGGCTCTTTTACACCTTTGCCGCGGCTCCGGGGTGGATACTAGCAAGGGGAGGAGGCGCATTGTGCACCTCGACACTCCCCACTGTGGCGGGCGCTGTGCTGGCTGTGACGTCGCATGGGGGCGATGCGTGCGTTAGTCACGCACCGTCCCGACATCACCTTCCCGCCCGCTGTCAGATCAGAGGGCAGCGGCGCACATGCTTTAAATGTCGTGATGGTTTTGCGGCTCCCAGTTTTTTCCCCCTTCGGAAACGGGTCCAAGTGGCTCTTTTTGTCTTAAAGGTTGCAGACCCCTGCTCTGTCCTAAGACACATGAAAACATGATGTGGTCATTTCCCAGAAAAATGTGCTTCTAGGGCAAGCCCCACCACCCTTAAGCCAGCTCAAAGCTTCCATGTCTTTCCCCAGGCATGCAGATTATCCTTTCATTGCTCATTTCCTGTTCTCTGCTCATGTGCACCAAAAAGTCATTTGGGATGCAGCCTGGAAAAAGAAAGTCCAAGAGCCCCAAATAAATCCCTGGGTGAGATGAAATCCAGAGATCCTGCCTTTATGTATCTTTAACGGCTGGCTCACACAAGCAAGTGTTTTATGCAGATGCTATTCTCTTTGGGGGCATGACTGTGTGGAGAAACTTGCATGAGCTGGCTGCTTGGGGTGGGGGTGGGGAGAGGGCAACAGCCATTTTCATTTCCGCAAGACCACAAAATGTGCCGCCTCTTTGTCTGTGTAAGCAGCAAATGCCTTCTTACTGCTTTGTCTCTGAGTCTGAAGTCATGTAGAGAAGTAAGGGCTATCGGTTACTACAAACAGGGTGCAAGATTTCTTTATAGGAAGGTTTTCCTCAGGGTCCTCCTCTCCCTGTATGCACCATGCCTTTAAAGGGTTGCTGGGGATTGTAATTTTGTTGGGGGGGGCAAACTGCCCATAATACTTTGAGGAAAATAATTGTGCTTCAAATGTATTTTAAAGGTCTAGGGTCTACACAGCAGTATCGTTTTTGTTTGGCTTGTTCTGTTTCCAACTAATCATAGCTCTTTTGGTGGCAATTCATACTAGGAAAATCTGGCATTGCCCACAGAGAACTCTCCCTTTCTGTATAATGTCCTTCAACCCCAAATGGCAGGTTTCAAGTGGAAACAGGAAGTGAGGGCTATCTAAGGCATTCCCCCCCTGCCCCCCACCATTTTTGGGACAGTATAACTAGCATCTTGTGAGGGGGAGAGGGTCAGATCATGGAGAGGCACTCAGAACATGAGAAAACCTGACCCATTCCTATTTTGCATTGGATGTCTTCAAGCTGCAAGGCCCCCGTGAGAAAGGGGGCAAGGCTCCTGCACTCTTAACGGTTGCGTTGAAGAGGGGATTTCTGCATGAAGAAGGTGCCATCTTCCCATCTCCTGACTTTGCCACCTCCAGGAACAACAACGACAGGGTTTAGCTGGGGAGGCCCAGCTGGGATGGGCAGGGTACAAATAATTGTAAATTATTATTAGCTTTTCATGGGCTCTGAACAGAGGTTTGTGGTTTGTTTGAGGAGAAACAAAATGTGTGCCTCAGCTCAGACAGTAAAGCCAAACCTTGCTGTTTGTTGCTCCCAGGGTAGCAGCTAAGAGCGAAGTGGGGACTTTAAAGCAGCAGGGACCAGCTGTCTGTTTATTCACATTTAAACCACGCAAACATGGCCAATGTGGCTGAGAGGTTTGAGGCCATCCCTCAGAAGTAAGTTAACCCAGCCAGCATCTCCTGGCCAGTGCCTACGTTATGACAATGTGTGTCCGCCTGCATGTAATGATTGGCTGTGCCTTAGGGAGCCATTCTGGGCACAAGATTCCCTATTTCAGAAACTGTATTATTGCTTAAGCAGCTAAATCATGAATCGTGCAGTGCAAATGCTCTGGAAAGTGGGCACAAGGAAAATGCTCTAATCAGCAAAGTGCACGAAACACATTATTCAGAGAGGAATCACCGACAGAAACCAATGTTATGGATTTTGCACATGGAGTTCCCTTCTACCTGAGTGTGTGGAAGGTGTCCCTGAGAGAACAGGACAGCAGTGGTGCTCAGCTGGCAGCAGCAGGTGATATGTATAAAAGGAGACCTGACAGCATGGAACCTGAAGAAGATCAATACGTAGTTGGAAAGTCATCAGTGCAGATCAAGAGCACGTGGGACATCCCAAGAGGCAGAAACAGAGGAAGTGTATCCTAGGCAAATAGTTGAAGGGCACAGGTCCTTAGGTAGCACAGATTGACACTGGCACCCAAATAACTGCTTGTTTGTCTTCTCAGATAAGTTACATTAATGCCTGTATTTCTAGAACAGAGCTGGGGGAAAGATCCAAATCTTGCAACTAGAATAAATTAAGCACATTTGCACATAGAGACTATGTGGTATAGTGGTTAGAGGAGACCCAAGGGAAACCTGAGTTTAAATATCTGCTGAACCATAAATCTCACTGCATTTGCAAAGGTCCAAGTTGTGAGGATAAAATGAGGACGGAAGTGGAAGAAAAAGAAAACAGTTGCTTTTATTTTGTACATTCATTCTGCTTCACCTAGATGTGGAGTGGAGTGGAAATCCAATTCAGCTACCCTCTCGCTTTAGAAATTTCACTGCCATAAAGGTGAAAAATGAGGGGGAAGGGAAAAGAAAACTGAAAAACTTGATTGTTGATTCTGCACCAGTTACCAAATCCGTCCATTTGTGATATTATGATATATGTGTGGTGTTTGAATGTGTCGTTCCAGTGTTCCTTTCCATTTGCTGGGCTTTGAAACGGTGAATCTTCAGAGATGCTGATCTGTTGAAAGTGTGTTAGGCTGTGTACACACTACTCGGCACTATAGTTTACCCCCCATGGAGTTACAATTCCCAGCAGTTCTTAACAGTATTCTTGGAGGGAAAGAATGTGCTTTGAATATCCTTTGAAGGTATAGTGTGTGCACAGCCTCTGTGTTTCCAGGAGCAGAAGTTTTCTCAAGAATGTATTTTGCTGCAGAATGTATTCTGTCAACTGATATCCCTGTGCCATTCACGTCTGCACATATAGCAGCTTCCTATGTTCCTGTGTTTTTTCCTCACCTGGCATTTCAACCCTCTCCTGTGCTTCCTTTTTATCTGTGCAGATCCAAAGGACTGCCTACTCAGTCTTCTTCGATGAGAGGTTTTCAATCCCCTTGGACCCTTCTGCACTCGAAGAAAACAGCTTGAGGTTTTCCATCTTTGGCATAGATGAAGACGAAAGGAACATCAGCACTGGAGTCGCTGAGCTGAAGTTGTCAGACTTGGATCTCTCCATCAGGCCCTTCAATGCATGGCTGTATCTACAGGACATGAACAAGGTAGCTTACTGTAGCAGGGCAGAGGGCAGTAGGGTTCTGGAGAATGGGTGGGGCAAGGATATGGGGCAAGGATATTCAGCCCCTTCGGATAGCGGTGCCCTTGGCAACCATCGAAATTGACTGAATTGCCCCTCAAATGTTGAGGGCATTTGCCCTCAAATGCTACCTTTTTATATAGCTCAGTTGCTTTCTAATGTTCCCCACTGCCTTGAGCTAGAGTAGTAATCTCTACCGTTCATTTTGTTATAAGGCCATTTAATGAGCAGTCACCTGTCTCCTTCTTATTCCCTGCAGGCAACTGATTCAGTGGGTGAAATTCTGCTTTCTCTTAGCTATCTCCCAACGGCAGAGCGGTTGACAGTAGTTGTGGTTAAGGCCAAGAATCTTGTGTGGACCAATGGGAAAATGACTGCAGGTCAGTAAACAGTTTTGCAAAGCTCCTCCGCCCTGCCCTGCAGCTGTGACTGGATAGAGTGTGAAGATGTTGCCTTACTCCACAGTGGGTAAATTAGTCATGCCTGTGATCACAATTTTTATTGTGAAAATAGTGTGGGGAGAAATGGTTAGCCCACCCTGTGGTCACAGTCCCAATTGTTCCTTACAATTGGGTCAATTGAAAGAAACGTAGAGAGAGAGACATAAATGCATTCATTATGCATTGTCTCCCCCATGGCATTTAGTTTGGACCTCAGTGTCTTCTTTAGTGCTCTCCTAGAGACTGCTGTCAAGCTCTGGGCTTTCCTTGTTCTTACTGGTTAGTTGTTAGGAGGAGATGAGCTGGGAATCAAATCTGTCTTGGTGCCAATCTGCGATTCTAGAGGGCCTGCCCTATAGTTTCAGCTGCATGTGGTGAGGTTATGCCACTCAGAGGGGAAAGTAAGGCACCTTAAGGTGCACAGACTCAGACATACTCACCTTTAAGCTGGCTTCATCATAGCATCCAGAGCAGACCCACTGAAAACAAATTTCATCTAATATTTTAAAACTTCTGAGTTGCCTCAGCAGGGTAGTAATCAACTGTTCCACAATGTCTCCCTCTTAGGCATCCTATTTGGGCTTCTTGAATAACCATCAGCAGAAGCTGAATATCTGTAGGGGGTGATTCTCTTTGAAGAGCCTCAGAAGTGATCAATTAGCTTCCAGTTTTAATTAAGTGGATTTCTCTTGGTTATCAAAAGTGAAGAGCACATGACCAGTCCTTCTGACTTGTATGTTTTTCCTGTGGATATTACCTTGCTCTCCAAAATGTTGTGAGTGGATTATAGCCCTTTAAAACTAAACTAAGCTAAAGAAAAGTTAAGTCTCATATATGAAGGTCTTGCCTGTACAAACACCTGCTGTTTAATATAGCGGTGCGTTTTACTGAAAGTAGCACCAGCTTCAGATACTACATCTTTTCATAGGTTAAGTCTGCATACAAGAAACAATTTCCCCGGGGACCCAGTAAAAACCATCCTCTTCTTACCATCCTATCAGATCCTTTTGTCAAAGTGTACTTGCTGCAAGACGGGAGAAAGATCAGTAAGAAGAAGACTGCGACAAAGAGAGATGACACAAACCCAGTGTTTAATGAAGCCATGATTTTCTCAGTGCCAGCAATTGTTCTACAGGTAAGAGCCTCCAGGTTCACAGGGACGATTACAGCACCATCCATTGAGCTACTGCATTGCTAAGAGCACAGTCTATAGCGTCAGGCATACAGTTCACACCAAGAGCACCCTGGGGAAACTTACCCTCTCCTACCAGTTCATAGGATCAGCCTGCCCGGCTATGAAATACACCAAAAAGTGTTAAAGGGCTCATAAAATTCAGTCCAACTATTCCTTGGTTAACCCTAGAATCTTACTGTGAAGGTCTGCCTACTGGAAAAGGCTAGAAGCAATTTCATCTCAAGCCCAGTTCACAAGTCATTTTGGTGTGTGACAGCTGTGCCCGTAATGACTCCATCTGCTTTGTCTCATGCCGGTCCACTTGTGTGCACACATGTCACTGGTCGAATCCAGATTTTTTGCCAGCCATTAAAAGTGGATGGACAAAGAAGGTGCTTCTTCACACAACACGTAGTTACACTGTGGAATTCCTTCCCACAATATGATGGCCACCCGCTCCAATGGCTTGCTTCCACTATGCTCCACTTATAAATAAAGCAAACTTTTGAAGTCTCCAGGGTGCTCTCATCCAAAAGAATGGTCTTGCGGGGTTTTGCTCCTGGAACCTCTCACCACTCACAGTCATAGGAATCCTCTGTGAATAGTGAATAGCAGGCATGGTGGGGGAGAGGGCAATTCCAACTGGGCCCATGGCTGGGGCAAAGGGTTAAAGCTCCTTCCCTTCACAATCCATGCTCCTGAAAATACAAACCTGCTTCAAATGGGACCATTCACAAATGTTAATGACAAAGCCTTAGGTGATGCAGATACTTCTCTTCAGAATGAAATTCTAGGAAAACAGTACAGAGAGAGATTCTCTTCATCGTCAACTTATGTTAGCTCTGTTCATCTTAGAAGCTCACCCAAGTGATGAAGGGCTGGCTGTGGCTGAGGACATCCTAATGAACATGAAATTAAACGGGATATAAACTGGCATGCCCAGGGCAAGAGCCTTCTTCAAGGGTTAGACATTGCCCTTTTGCCAACACTGGTGATCTGAATGGTGAGGGTTAATTTGTTTGTTTAGTCCAGAGGAAACAAACCAAACATGTATTGGTGATGGAGAAATCTCTTAACTAACCATGTCATGTATTGTCCTGCATTTTCTTTGTTCTTGTTAACATGCTATGTTGTCTTTTACTGGGCAGCAAAGGTGGCCTTCAGATTAACCCAGACAAAATCATTAGTAGACAACAGTATCCAGCTAAGTCATAATAAGAACGTAGCACTCATTTCTTCCTCACTGCGGCTGACATCTATAATTTTAATGAATCTTTCTCCGTTCAGAAGCTTTTCTTGATTGGTGATAGATTCCGCCCACAAGGTTTTTGGCATTCAAGGCAGAGACTTTCAAATTAAACCCTGGGAAAGAAAAACCAGTACGGGAGATGTAAACACAATCATTGCATCACCTGCAAGGCCGAATATATAATTTCATTTGCTTTTCAGTCATTCAGAAGCTTCGGTGCTGGGAGCTAATATAACATATCTAACGAAATCATCTTCAAAGGAGACAAGAAAAAGGATGGGTTACCATAACGACCAAGCAAAGGCCGACTGCTGTGGCTTCTCCTGTCCCTTCTTGAGGAGGATGCAAATTCATGGGGGTTAGGGCAAAGGTTCTCGAAGCTGTACTAATATGTAAGGGAAAGAGAAGTAATGTTTCATTGCACACAAATTTTACAGGTGCCTGAAAGGCCCTTGGGGCTTACTTGTCAAACAGGAAAGAAACTGGCTGTTGCTGATGGCTAGTGGAATGTTGCATTCCTTAATAACTCATAGTGGAGGGCTACGAGGCTAAGCATTCCCATATGGTGGTTCTGATATTGGAAGGAGCATTTTGGAGTCCTCCTAAGTGACGCTGCACCAAAAATCAAGGTGTTGTCTTTCCCCCTCGAGTTTTTCAGGCCCAGCATACTTCCAGCCCCTGGGTTGATTTTGAGATCCAGTTGGGCAATTCTGCATTGTTGCCAGATCTCATTGGGCTGCATTGTTACTTTTCTGAATGGAATGAGGACATGAATTCTGAATGTGAACTCTACATATAATCAGTAGTGGAAAATTAAGAGTGCTTTTCAAGGGTACCTACAGCCACTTCTCAAACTACATCTGATGGTGGTAAAAATTGGGTCAATGGGATTTTGCTAATATCCGCTTGTGTCCTTGCAGGAACTGTCTCTTCGGGTGACTGTCACAGAGTGTTGTGAAGACGGGAGAGCTGAAAACATTGGCCATGTTGTCATAGGCCCAGCTGCAGGTGGGATGGGCATCACGCATTGGAACCAGATGTTGGCCACCTTGAGGAAGCCTGTGTCCATGTGGCACCCACTTCGGCGAAGCTAAGGCATGCTTGCACCTTGCTGTGAATAATCCAACTTGGTGCCTAAACTCTATCAGTAGGCAGATACTGTTGGCAAATGGAGTTCATTATAGCTAGGAACGAAAACTTATTTTTTCTCCAAATATTCTTCACAAAATGGAGTTGCAGCAACAGGAAAGGGGGAAAAATGTTCAGTTGCCAAATGGAACCACATAAGCCTTGGAAAAGCTTCAGACAACTGAAACCCGTAAGAGAGGAAGCCATTCAAGTACAAGGGACTGCCCTGAAGTAGCTTGCTGACAAATAGGGTGGCCTTTTGCCTCCATCACTCTCAAATCACCAGCTTGGAGAACCAGTCATTTAGTAAATTTGTTTTTTTTTACTAGGAATTAAGAGTCCCATGCGGCTTTCCTCCAGCCCCGAGGGTCAAGGGGGAAAGCTTTGTGTACATATGTCTCTCTGTGTGTGTGTGTGTGTGTGTGTGTGTGTGTGTGTGTGTATCTATATCCATTTGACTCCACTTAGATCTTAAATGCATCTACTTGGAGGTTAGAGCCACTGAATTTAATAGATCTTGCTTTGAAATAGGCATGACTGAGAACACAGTTTTATATTTGTCACATTTTTTGGCAGGAAAATCCCGTTCGATTCAGAGAAACTGAACTGAAATTACTTCCAGCGTAAATGAGCTTAAGATCATAACTTCATGGAACCATCGTCAAATGCATCTCCATCCATGGTTCCAATTCTAGAAGAGTAGTCATGTTTGCCTATTGCTACAAAGAGCAGCAGGAGACCAACTATTGTAGCCTATTACAGGAATAGGGAACCTGTGGCCCTCCAGAAATCATTGGGACTCCAACTCCCAGCAGCCCCACCAGCATGGTCCACGATCATAGGTGACGGGAATTGCAGTCCAGCAACATTTGGAGGGCTCCAGGTTCCCTGTCCCTAGCTTCTTTTGTCAGATGCCTAAAGCAAACCTACTTCTTGCACCTCATGCTACCATAAATTAGACCTCAGACTAACATAGGCTATGCTGGTTTGTTTGTTTGTTGCCCTGGTGGCATCATTCATTTCAACTTGTCTGTTGCTTGTTACAGAATAGATCTCCAAGCAACTTACAATAGGCTTGGTAGCATTAATCACAAAGTGTCCAGCATGGTCAGAGATGACCATCATGACCATCAAAGCATGATCTAGACTACCATGTAATGCTGTTTAATCCTGATGCCCCCCCCCCAGTGATAGCAGCAGCATCACTTAGATGCTTTCTCACCAGAGCAGCTGTTCCATTGCCGTTTTGAGCACATGGATCACATGTCAATCCAAGCGGTCCATAGATAGCAGGCCCTTTGCTTGCCATTCAGGGGGATGCAGGGTTGCTGGGAAAGGGAAAAATCAAGAAAAAAACAAAACCGTTTTGTTTTTAATGACAAAGTATCATGAAATCGGTCATTGAGCTGGCTTAAAGTAAGCGAATATGTGATTTAAGTAAAATTTTGAGGAAAGGAATATCAGTAAAATGGGTACCCTAACACTACTCCATTCTCCCAAGCCATTCTGCCACCCAATTTAAAGGCACGTGGCTTTGTATCTAGAGCTCTTTCGCTGTTGAAGAACTTGCTGCTTGGCTTAGCTATACACACTTCATAAAGCAAAATGGAAAACACAAGCGCTAATGATCTGAAAAGCATTAGAGGCCACTCAAGCTTTAACTCTTTTTCTTTCTTTTTTTAAGCAATTCTCTGAGGATGTCAAGCCTACTCAACTTTAACCATGAAAGAGCAGAAATGCTGATATTAAAAGGGTAACTTTATGTTGAACATAAGCCCATTTGACATTTGGAGTTTATCAAGAAAGCACTTTCCTTTTCTGCCTCCTGAACCTTGGCAAACTCCATCAAGAGTGAACATTTATCGCTTTGCTAAGGCCTGAGCAATTCTGTTGTTAATAAGTTTTACATAGATTGGAAGGGAGATTATTCTCCACCCCATTTGATAAAGCTAGACAGCTGCTTAATTTGCCTTCTGTGCAACCAAATACCACAGTAGGGCTGGCTTTAGCAACTGGACAGAACCATCAAAAAGAGAGACATCTGGATTCATTGAGCTCAGGTGTCCCAAGGACTCTTAAGAAAAGTGTGAAAAGTTCCTTTCAAGTGGAAGCTTTGCTATGTGCCAAGGAGAACTGTGATGGTAGGAAGGTAGTCCTATATCCTTATGAATCCCATGATGCTTTGCTTATTAAAATGATGACATCGTCAGAATGAAACAATCAGAAATCAATTAAGAAAGCTGCAGAAATGATCAAGCATGAGCATCACAACAGTTGAAAGCAATAGCAGATTAAAACCAAATGCAACTGATGTTTGAAAGAATCTTAAGAAAATAAATAGGCCATCCCAGAATTTAAAAATGCCCTTGCCTCTTTAATCCTAACTTAATTATGTCAGTCTCTGAAAAATATTCAAGCTTGGAATTGCTGGGAAAAGAGAAGAGAGAAATTTAAGGTGACCCTCCATAATTACCTCTCTTAATGCCCTTATTGCATAAACTTTGCTACGGAAATTATAACTAGCTGATCTCAAAGATTAGGGTGGCATTTGAAATATGATATCAAGGTACATTGGAAGGATAAACAGGAAGGCACCAATTTCAAGGAGGAAGGGAGGAAATCCCTGGTTGCCCCAGGGGGGAAAAGGTTTTTTTAAAAAAATTGGGGTCAAATGATTTGAACAGGTTTCTTTCTCAGGGACACTTCAACAAATTTCCAAACTGGAATTCAGATTAGGTGCCAGGGGATGTGCATATGGTCTAATTCATGTGGGGGCAGGGGGTAGGTCAAAACCAGCATGTTGAAATGCATTTATTCATCTTTAACATTTTCCTCCTGCCATCCTGGCCCTGGGCCTCCATGGCAGCTTCCAAAGTTGTGCTTGTGAAACACAGAGATGCTGTGTGGTTGGTAGAGACCTGGTGTAATGTGCTCCTGGCAACCCCTGACTCTCAGAAAGTAGACTGCAAAGCTTGAGCAGTCACTAAAGGTGTCCCCCTTTGCATCTTCCATTTCCAATAACCAACCCTTGAGATGACAAAGGGAAACCTGAACAGGACAAAAATGAAGACATCCTTCTTGCAAGGAGAAGCAGTGGCAAAGCACTCCTGGCCATCTCCAACCATTAAGCAATTGGCTGAAGAGCACCCCAAGGTGTCAGCAGTGAAGAACAGGTGTTCCTGCTCATTCTAGCTCCAGGCCACACTACCTGCGCTGTCCATTATCATATTGAACTTATATAGGTTTGGCCTGCCTCACCCAGTCCCTCTACCATGGCCAGACGATGTATTTTAAGACTTGGATAGGATGAAATTCCAATTTATCTGCCATCAGCATAATACGATCATGCTGGCCATAAAACACAAACTTGTCTTTCCTGTGACTTTTCTCTGAAGATACACTTCTTGTAGGATACATTTACTTTTGGGATAAATAAAGACTGGTCTTTCTTTAAAAGCTGCTCACACTGCAGGACTGAGAGAGATACTGCTATGATGATTGTAATTACATTTGTACCTCAAATGTTTGATATTCTCACCTGTTCCCTCCTACCCATCCTTCAATTCTAGAAGAGTGGCAGACTTTTGGGAAGGGGTGGGGATTGTCGGTGATTTTGTAATGTAAAGTGTATCATCACACCATTCCTGTATTATGTGCATCATTTCTGCTGTGCCAAAGCAGCAGCTGTGCTCGTGTAACGTATTTTCGTAAGCTTTGTACATAATCTTTTCCCCACTGCACATGCACATTGTTGACAGCGCCTTATGCATTTGCCTCCTCCTGCCCAATTGCAGTTACCTAGGCTCTAGCTTTCATGTGAGGGAGGAATTCTTTTCTTGTTCTTAAAGCCCAGATAGTGCACACAGCTGATTCTGATTCTCTTGCCAAGGTGTACAGAATCTAACCAGACACTTTGGTAGTCATGGCTGCGGTTACTCTTGAAAACATTTCTGAATTGGCTGCCTAACATAGGCAGCCGTGTTCAAAGCCAGCGTAGGGCACTGCCAAGATACAGTTCTGTAACGTTAAACTCTGGATTTAATGATCTTCTGCAAGTGGGTATTTCCTCCCCCCTTCACTTGATGGTAATGGGTGCAATTTTAATACAGTGGTACCTTGGGTTACATACGCTTCAGTTTACATACGCTTCAGGTTACAGACTCTGCTAACCCAGAAATAGTACCTCGGGTTAAGAACTTTGCTTCAGGATGAGAACAGAAATTGCGCTCTGGCGGCGTGGCGGCAGCAGGAGGCCCCATTAGCTAAAGTGGTGCTTCAGGTTAAGAACGGACCTCCAGAACGAATTAAGTTCTTAACCCGAGGTACCACTGTATGTGCTAAGTCAACACTACAGCTATTGAGGGTTGAGTAGAGACTCTGGATGTCTGCCTCATCGTCCTGCTCTGACAGCACTGCTACTCAGATATTCTTCTGGACAGACACCCTAGGATAAGAAGTGCATGTATGTTTTTGACTGTAAAAATGGCTACGTGGGACATTTCTTACGTTCAATAACCTCTCATTTTCTTTGGCAATTTTAAATGATACACACACATGAGAAAAGATGCTAAAGTTACAAAAGGAGCTTCAGCATCTTTTTCAGGTGTATTTTCAAGGCAACTCCCCTCCCTTTTTTGTATCTTTGATCTTTTACAAAGAGCTGTGATCAGGCGGGTTCCCGTCCTCAGGTCAACAACAACAAATTAAATCCTGAGAAGGGTGTGCCTAGGGGGGAAATGTCCCATTAAAGTAATACGTATTTCCGTTGATCCAAAGATGTACTTTACACACAATTTAAGCTACATATTGTTGTAGCAATAGGATCTCACAAAGACAATATAAGTGTAGTGCTACAGTAACATGCACTGAATAGCACCAAATATCTACTACACACTTAACACTATCTCCATTTCAACACACGAGAAAGGGTGCTGTGCAGCTGAAGCTGCCTCCCCTGCCTGTTTGTTCTGCATATCCCACTTCCAAAAGAGGCAAGCCCTCCCATAAGAGCATCTAGTCTCGGGCTGTGGGCACTGCTGTAAAAAAAAAACAACAAATGCGCCAGGTGCATAATCACTCCAACTGACTTACTGGGAGCACAAACAAAAATAGTGCTTCTAACATCACAGATAGCACCCAAACCAGACTAGAACGTTAGGTGTGCATTGCAGAATCTTTTAGTTTTTCTGGATCATAGTGTGTGGAAAAACAAGCTGCTGTGGACATACACTTGAAGCATTCTGTTGTCACTTTCAAGGCTATCATCTGCTGTGCAATGTGTCAGAGCAAAAACCCAGTTGTTCATACTGGGGCATATTTGAAAAGCAAATAAATAATTTGAGGTAGTTGGGCAAGCTTGACTTTTTCCCCCCCACCTCCCTGCAAAGGAATGGATCCAAATCAGTGTCTATGAGTGCATACTTGTAATGTCTGAACCTATGGCATACTGCTTCAGTATATCTAGATATCTTGCTGCTGCTGGGATTTAGTCATGGTTCCTTAGTCCTCAATTGTATCTGATATTTTTGTCACACAAATGGCCTCACTACAAAATGATAGCGCCGTTTCTAGAAGGCTAACATTGTTAAATCTCTTGAGGACAAAACAAGCAGAATTATGGTATCCTAAAGACTAACCAATGTCTCCTCAAATGAGTCTCTTGGCAACAGCATATTTTTTTCCGTTGCAGGTGATAAGGCAGGCTGCTTATACCAAAAAACTCATACTGAAGTAATTGTGTGTTAGTCCTTAAGATGTCACAGAGCTCTTTGCTGCAATTGCAAAACAAACACACTAACATTTGAACATGGTCTCTAATGTGAGCTGGTGGGACATCGCCATGGAAACATGGGAAATTGAAAAGGTAATTGAACCGACTCTTGTGCAAAGTGCCCAGGGAATGGCTCCTATCAGTACTGTGCCTCAAATGTGGGAAGGTACTGACAGCTCAAAGATTATCTCAAGGATTAGCTTTGGCAATGTGGATAATGAATCTCTTGGGTTATGGATGTTAAGCATTGCCTGATTCGTTTTCTGATTCAAGATACAATCAGTCTTTCACCAATATTTCACTACTAAGGGCATTGGTCCCATGAAAGAGATGACTGCTGTAAGCAGCAACCTGCAACATCACTGTATGGACATCACTGAGAGAGTCTAGCCTGAGTCTGCTCTGTGCTGGGGAGTTTTGATATGGGGGAGCGTTCAGTCATGCAACCTTATCACCTGTGCTCTGAATAGGTCATGTTCTAACAGGGTTGTGTCATTCTTATTCTCATTGTGCAAAATGGCTCTAAACCTGTGCATGAAGTGCATATGATTCCATTGACTCAACGCAGACAAATGAAATTCAACCAGTAGCTCAGGTTAATGCTTAGGAAGAAAATATGAGCTAGATTCAATATACCACTACTGAAGTTTTAAAAGTATACTTGCGTATCCATTTTGTTCACTGCATCACAGCCTTTCCCAAAATTGGGTTCCCAAATGTCTGACTACATTTCCATCAGCCTCAGCCAACATGGCCTGATGATGATGGATTTAAATTTCTATACCACCCTTCATCCGAAGGTCATGGGGTGATTCACAACATAAAAATACAAAATGAGAACACAAAATACGTAATAAAAAACAAACAAACCAATAACTTCCCTCTCACATGTAACACATTGCAGTAATCCAACCAAGAGATTACCAGAGCATAGATGACAAGTTAGGATATCCCTTGCCTGCATAGGAGCACAGCTGGGCCACTGCCACCGAGGCCATGTGAGCCTCAAGTGACAGCAAAAGATCTAAGAGTATGTCCAAGCTATGTACTCGCTCCTTCAAAGTGTAACCCCCCCCCCAAAAAGCAGGCCACCTAGAGAACTGCCCACTAACAGTGCCTCAATCTTACCTGGATCGAGCTTCAGTTTGTTGGCTGCCGTCATCTACAATGAGATCATGGATGAGAGACATCATGCTTCCACCTGGCATTCAGCAACAACAGCCGCAGACTTGAGGACTGGCTGATAGGACAACCACAATTCCCCGGGTTGGAGTAGGCACTGGTACATGGCACAGTCACTATTTATATGAAAACCAAAAAAAGTTAAAAGCACACAAGTTAGAAAGCAGTTTAAACAACGTAAAACATTTTCACACAATTCGGACAAGGTCATCCCCAGAGAAAATGCTGTCCTGGGGGTGGCCCCTGTCCTTGCCTCTCTCGAAGCTGCTCCTTCCAACGGTGCAACCCCCACCCCCGGTCAGCCTGATGTAGCCTCCACTCCCCTGGTAGATTGACTCTCAATCTGTCAGTCGGTGGGGTAGGGCAGGCTTCACTCTGCCAGCCACAGGTGCAAAAAGACCAACTAACTCAAGAGGAAGAGGCATTCCAGCAGCTGTGGAGGTCCAGGTGAATAGCCTACCTTCACTGATGGTCTCCAGCTGCTGCTCCCACCTCTAAGAGCAAAGCATCAGTTCTCCAGTGGTCAGGGATGATGGGGATTGTAGTACACCACTACCTGGGGGGCTCACAGTTAGGAAAGGCTGGTCTCCCAGACAACCCTAGAATGGGTAGGAACAGAAACAGGACGCTGCCTTACCAGGTCTGTCCATTTCTCCCATCTAATCCAGTATTGTCTGTTCGCACCAGTAGGAGCTCACCAGGATCTCAGGCTGATATATTTCACATCACTTGCTGCCTGGTTCTCTTTTAATTTGTCAGGGCTGGAGCTGGGATCTTCTGTATGCAAATAAAAGTGCACTATCACTGACCTATGATCCCGCTCCAATATTAGTAGCGGTTCTCCACCCCAATATTTTTCTCTCTATTACAGCCTCATAAATGATACAAAGGGCTTGGGGGGAGGAAACAAAGTATGCTGAACAAAATATATATTATTAGATGAGCAGTGATCCAATCCTACGCATGTTTACTTAGCAGTTGGTCCCTCCACACCCGTTGCATGATTAGGATTGCACCAGTAGCCCAATTCATTCCCACCTCCCTCACATACCGCCACACAGAGGCTCTTCCCTTGCCCCTCATTCTTTTTACCTTCCCCCATCTTATTAAAAAGCTGTACCAGGCCAAGGCCCATCTAGTCCAGTATCCTGTTCTCACAGTGGCCAAGCCTGATTATGAGTTAGCAACATCTGTGGATATCATTTGCACCGTTTAATTAAGGCAGGAATTGCCTTTCCTTGGCGCTGTTAGTCATCGTGACATCCCTGCAGCTGGTGTTGTCATAACTTGCTTTCTGAGCCACCCACTTGTCACTTTGAAGAGCTCCCTCTGGTGACCACCACCCACCCACACCCAATTCTGAGCTGCCATGGCATGGTATTTCAGGGTCCATCCCACTCAGTCACTCCATGAATGTAACATGACATTTCCTCCATTTCATTCGCTCTCTTTGAACAGATGGCCATGAATAATAAGGGATGTTTTCTGAGAGCTGTTGTCAGTTTTGGATGGGGGCTCCCTCGCCTTTGTATGGAAAAAATAAGAATGACTTTGTTGAGTCAGCTGTTCTTATTTCAATGGTCTCCAAAAGAACAAAACAAAACTCAATGCATCCTTCAGTTGCCAGGGTGCAATTAGCCTCGAGGTAGGGGAGAAAATTGGTTCCACTTACATGCTAATGTGAGACTACCTAATCTCCCCACCTCACCCCACCAAAATACAAAACATGAATCAACATTTTATTTATTATTAATTTATATCCCACCTTTCCTTCAAGGAGCTCAAGGTCACGCACACTGTTCTCCCCTTCCTCATCTTATCCAACAGGTAGGTTAGGCTGAGAGACTGCGACTGGCCCAAGGTCACCCAGTGAGCTTCATGACTGAGGGGATACAGCAATCCTTCAAAATGTGCACTTCTCTGAATCTTGCAGTGGAAGCCTCCAACCAAAAACTATATATTAGGGGAAAGTTTGCATTAAATATATAGATGAGTGAAAATAAGATACAAAAGTGCATTATATTCGGTAATGTTGCTTGCAAAACGTGTATTAGGAGAATGCAGACAGATTCTCATGGCGATTATTATTATTATTATTGCATTGCAAACTGATTCAGAAATGTGGCAAACTGAATTTGAGGTTAGAAAAACAAGAAACATTTAGTCTCACATTCAGACAGGAGTTCTCCGATGGCATGGAATCTGGAAAAAAACATGGTCTTACCAATGTCAGTTTTGCACTGTAGTCCGCAAAATGGTTCCTCCAAAGCAATCACAGAGAGTGATCTGCCCCAGTAAGTGACCCAAGGGTTGCCATCTTCATTATCATCAGGGCAGACAGTATCATAGGTCATAAAAACTGCGCTTATGCCACAACTTGCATGTTAAACGAGATGAATTTGTGCCCATCTTTTTCACTGTAAACATTTTGAACACAAATTGGTTCTTCAAAACATGAGGAGAATCTGTTGGCCATGTCTTATTGTGATTAAACATAACAAGCTGCACTTTAATGGACTGTGTATCTTAAGGCAGATTTAGATTATTATTTACAAGAGGAGCCACAAACATAACAGTTTGCCACGGTCAACAGCATGGAGCCCACAGGAATCAGTGTGCGCAAGAGAGTAACCCCCATCGTGAAAGTTCTTAGCAATTCACAATGTGTGAGAGACTGTTTGCACTGGCTCAGCCTCTCCTACACTGAACATGCCCCTTAAACCTGCCCACATTTTATTGGAAGCCATTGATTGGACATCCTCCTTCCCTGACATTCTGAACAGAGGAGAGGTACAAAGAGCTTATCTCTATGATACCATGACAATGGTTGATGTAGTTGCCCTTTCCCATTGATGGGAAGATTGATGGAGGGCATGCCCACATTTTTGTGGTCCTCTCTCTTTTTTTTAGCTCTTTTAGATTTGGCAGCCATTTTGTGTTAGGACATACTCCCATAGCAGCCATTTTGTGCCTAGCACCCACAACACTGCCTCAAAATTCCACTCGTGTTCACGAGACCAAAAAAAGGTTGCAACCTCTAGTTTGCATTTCCCCCTTTTGGGTAAAAATTCTAGAAGAACATACATTTAGGAAGTAGAACTCCAATGACACAACTTTTGAAATGGGACAACTTGCCGTTGTTGTACTCTGCCCCGAGGAATAAGTTTTGTCAAAATGTGTGAGGCGGCCTTCTTGATCCAGGAAATTCTACTTTGGGCAGCCATCTGATGTTTGCCTCTCTTTTTGATTCTTAATAAATTCTGTACTAAGGAGACCCAAATTCTCCAACAAGCAAACTGTTTTTATGCCCAGAAGGAATTATGCAAATTGATTCAATATACACGAAAGTGCTTATTTTGCATAAATGTTCTGCATGCTTTACAGCTCAGTCCTAAACATATTCACTCAGAAATAAGTCCCACTGGTTTCATTTGGACTTCTTTGCTAATAAGAATGTTTAGGATTGCAAATTTTGATACATATTTTTAAAATATACAGATTTATTTTACAAAGAGTGATGCTCTAGATGATCTGAGGATTGCAACCTTCATTATAATCAGGATTTATAAATATTATTCACCATATTCTGTACCAATACAAATTGTCCTGGCAGGAGGAGGGGTACATAAAAGTAGTGAGCAATGGGAAGGTGTATAGTTAGGGGAAAGGAGCCAGAGAATAAAGGGCATGTAACCATGTAGGGTAGAGAGACATCATCTCTTGAATGCTTCCATAGAACTGCATGGTTTCAATAGGAAACTTGGTGAACCAGTCAGACTAGTTCCTTTGTTAAGGTAATGGCCTTGGCCAGCCTCATCTTAAACAATTAGCTCCATCCTATGTTCTGGACGCGGGCGGCGCTGTGGGTAAAAGCCTCAGCACCTAGGGCTTGCCGATCGAAAGGTCGGCAGTTCGAATCCCCGCGGCGGGGTGCGCTCCCGTCGTTCGGTCCCAGCGTCTGCCAACCTAGCAGTTCGAAAGCACTCCCGGGTGCAAGTAGATAAATAGGGACCGCTTACTAGCGGGAAGGTAAACAGCGTTTCCGTGTGCGGCTCTGGCTTGCCAGAGCAGCGATGTCACGCTGGCCACGTGACCCGGAAGTGATCCGGACAGCGCTGGCCCCCGGCCTCTTGAGTGAGATGGGCGCACAACCCTAGAGTCTGTCAAGACTGGCCCGTACGGGCAGGGGTACCTTTACCTTTATGTTCTGGTTGTATATATGTGCAAATAAAAACATATCACCTAAAGACATGTTTTGTCACATCATAAAACTTAAAATAGGCTACTACTATGTGCATTTGTTTGGGAGTAAGTCTGTTCCATTTAATGGACTTTCCAAGTAAACACGGCTGGCACCAGTCTGTACACCATGAAACTAAAAATTGACCTGTTCAGGCCCAGGTTCTACTCATTTGGTCAAATCTTTTACCTAGGTTATATACAAAGCCGCATGTCAGCAATGATGCAGGCAGGCCAAGCACAGTATCTGTCCCCCGAGTGCGAAGGCTGCTCAGCCATTATCAATTACTCATTTGAGGATTGTTGACTTGCAGGAAATTTCCAGGGACGGCATGTTTCTAGTATTAGCTGCTATGAATGTGCATCTCCCTAAGTGCCAGCAAGTAAGATGTGAACGGATTATTTTGTTTATTTGTTTGTTTGTTTGCTTGCTTGGTGTTGTTTTGTCTGCTCAAAGATTCTGGGGAGAACGTCAGGCAATTGTGTGGGTGGATTTAGTACATTTACTTGGAAGCAGGCGACGCTTTGGAAGTTGGATGATTTATTTAATGGCTGTAGCATTGAAAGCTTGGGATAAATTGAAACAAAGTGAGCACAAATGATCAATTTGTCATTGATTAGTGATAATGTCCAAGCAATACTTGGCAAAGAGTACTTAGAGGCTGTCTTTTTCCATTCCAGTTCAGCCTGCTTGCTTCGAATGCACACCTTCATTAAAGATTCAAAAATTATTTTAATATTTAAACTTTTTTCTCCCCATGAAGAAGCCTATATTGTTTTGGCTTTATCATTAATATACCCAGAAAGGGGGAAATAGTAAATATTTTTGGAGGGTTGATGCTTGCAGCTCCTTTTCAATTAAATCATGGAGGTGACTTCATGAAGGTGACTTCTAGCCACATTTTCACCTCATTTTGAGGAACTGACGTGCAAGGTTCAGACTACATGTGACATTCAGTGCTTATGCACTGAAGGGTTGTGCAGTCCCTAGTCTGGTTTTATAGAGCTATAAGAAGGAAGAGTGCAGCATGGGGTTCAAATTGCCCAGGAACTGTACAGACACATATAGGTCACTTGGTCACAGTTGTCCTCATTATGGAGAGATGTATTGACTCTCTATTTAAATTATAGAAATTATTTCTAAATTTACATATTTCCATATAAATTTACACAGAGGAGTTTCATACATATCTGTGCCTCCTTTTTAGGGATTAGGTATTTCTTCTCCTTTTTTAGCAATGCATAAGTGGCCACTCTGCCCAACCACTCCACGCCTGGTATGGCAGGCTAGTAAGCAAAAATCTGTTTTCATTTATCGGTCTCACTTGCTAAACTAGGAGCACCGCTGAATTGGCTTATATATGCATATTCACATTAATTGGTGACTCACCTCTTTGAATGAGTCACCACAGATCAAGAGATCACCATGGAAATAATTATGATATGCCCTTATGCCCATTCAGAGGCAAAACTTTGTGGTTCAGACCACTTATGCTTATTTGTCTGCAACACCTAGATGTGGCGGCCAGTTCACAGTCTCTACATATGGACTGACTCTTAGTTCAAAGTTTAAGCATTTTATATATTAGTTGTGCATGCTAAAGGCAGAAACCCTTTTGCTAAAGCAATAAAGACTATTAGCCATGTGGTCACATTGCAACAGAGCATTAACGCTACAGAATTTGGGAGGGATTCATTTTGCAAGGCTACTCTTGTGACTATTATTTAGCTCTGAAATGGTGGCTTGCTGTTAATGGTTTCCACAGCAGCAGCTGCTAAACAGCTCCTGTAGTGTGTATGACCATGGAGTTCAGCAAGGCTGATAGTACAGCTTGGTGACTGATGCTTTCCCTGTGTGGTTTCAAGAAGGTGGTTAGGATGCAAAGTCACAACTGATGGGAAAGCTACGGAGTTATTATTGACTCAGTAGTGGGTTTCCCCCAAAACTGGTTCAAATATCACTTTTCCTGGCACTCACACAACTGCCCTATTCCCATGAGCAGAGGAATGCACTTGTGAAACACCACAGATCAGCTTTTATGAGCACTGCAAATGCTCCTAGCCCTCTGAGGTCATAAGAACTGTCTGGACCAGGCAAGTAGTCCATTTAATCCAGCATTCTGTTCTCACAGTGGCCACCCAGATGCCTGTGCGAAACCCTCCAGCAGGAACAGAGCACACAAGCACTTTCCCCTCCTGGTCCAGCAATTGGTTTTCATGAGCAATTAGCCTCGAGCTGTGGCTAATAGCCATTGATAGCCCTATTCTCCACGAATCCATCCAATCCTTTTTTAAACCCATCCAAGTTGGTGACCATCCCTGCCTCCTGGGGGAACAAGTTCCATAGTTTAACTTTGCATTGCATGGAAAAGTACTTTCTTCACTAGTCCCTCCTTCACTGCTTATAGTGCTCACACACTGGATATAACACTACTCACAAAAGCATGTAAATTCACTAGAGAGATGGAAGATGTAATATAGCAACAATCTCGCATGTCGGGTATTTAAAGGCTATTTAAGGCTGTTTCTTTGTTGGTGTGATGTTGCAGGCAGAGGCTAGAGGCTG